CTGCTGAGCACCCCGAGCACCGCTGAGCACCACAGCTCTGCTGCCACGCCACGCCAGCCGCAGAGCAGGGGCTGGGGAGGGCCGGGGCCGCCGTAACACGCACTGTCCTCTTTGTGTCCCAGCCATGTACTCGGTGGAGATCACGGTGGAGAAGGACAGAGTGACTGGGGAGACCAAGGTCCTGTCCAGCACCACCCTGCTCCCCCAGAACCACTGTCTGCAGGGGGTCAAAGTGTACGAGGATGAGATGAAAGGTACGGGCCAGCCCTCGCCGCTGGCCGGTGGCAGAAGCAAAGGGCTGGGGACGAGGGAGCGGCCGCCCAAACATCCCAGCGGGCACCCACCAGGGCAAGGAAGTGCGGGGGCTGCTCCTGGCAGCCTCACCAGCTCTGTGAGGGCAACTCCTCGTTGGCCCCGGTCCGGCGGATCGCAGGATTGTCCTGGCAGTGTGGTGTGGATGGTCCAGACAGGCCAGCCCTGGTTTGCACATCGTGACCTTGCACCACCGGAGAGGAGAGAAGAGGATCTGGTGTGTCTGAGACTCAGGAGCCCATCCTGTGGGCAGGGAATGTGGCACTGGCACCATGTTGGCCTGGCCCACAGGCTGGCAGTGGGGAGCGTGGCTGCTGGGTATGGAGGAAGTGCAGCAGTAGGGACTGCAGCTCCTGCTCTTGGCAATATCTGGGAACCTGCTCTGAAGGGCCTGGTGACACCTGAGGGACCACTGTGGTGGCAAGGACCAACCATGGAGCTGGGGCATGTTACTGGGGGCTGTGGTGGCTGAGTGGACTGACTGTCTCTCCAAGGAAACCGCGGCACAGTGGTCCTGTTCAAACCTCCCCTGTGGCCACGGCTGTGCTGGCCCTGCCAGGATGGTCCCTGTGCCTCGCTCACCGCCTGCCCACCGCAGCGGTGGCACCGACTGTTGTGTGATGCCCCAGGTCAAGTGGAAAACGCCACGAGCCAGTGGCTGCTCTGGCCGTGACGCACATCTCTGCCTCCAGTGCCGTGAGCAGCCGGCACAGCGTGTTGGGGTGGGACAGCCCCGTCTCCTCTGGGCACGGGGCCAGCGGGTGCCACGGTCCCGGCAGGATGTGTCAGGAGGTGGTGGGAATGCGGTGGGGCAGCACCTGCTGAGCTCTCAGAGGTGGCAGTGCTGACCTGCCACAGAGGGTCGTGTCAGCCCGGGCCGAGCGGGTGCCGTCAGATCCCGTCCTGCCGCGGTGAGCACAGGCAGCTTGGCTGCTGTTGGCAGCCTGGCAGACAGCCGTGGCTCCCACAGGGTTTGCTGAGCCTGAGGCTTCAGGAACCGCTCCTCACACTGGGCTTTTGTCTTGGCCTCTGCCTGCTGTCGGGCAGGAGCCAGGTGATGAGGGGGGGTCTGACAGCAGTTCCATCTGAGAGAGGGGTCAGGATGCTGGGAGGAGTCCCAGCTTCAGTGGCAGAGCCCTTAGAGAGGGGAACAGGCTGCTCCCTGGCCACACGGGAGCCGGGTCTGAGCGGGTTGTGCCAGCAGGAGCTTTTCCTGGTCGCTTTGTGCCCCTGTCCTGAGTCTCCCTCACCCTTCCTCCTCTTGTCCCTGCAGTGGTGCACGCGGTGAGCGCCGAGGACGGGGCCCTGCAGAACGGGGCCCACCCCCTCAGCTCCTCCGAGGTCGACGAGCTCCTGCACAAAGCGGACGAGGCCACGCTGAGCGAAGCCGCCGGGCGCGAGACCCCGGCCAGGGCGGGCCAGGGGGGCAGCAGCGCCCCGGGCAGCCAGAAGCCGACGCCAAGGAGGGAGATCACGGGGCTGCAAGCGAAGCCACGGGAGAGCACCGCGGTGCCGCCGGGCGAGGGGACGGAGCCGAGCCGGGAGCAGCCCGTCACCATGATCTTCATGGGCTACCAGAACGTGGAGGATGAGAACGAGACCAAGAAGGTGCTGGGGCTGGAGGGCACCATCAAGGCGGAGCTGGTGGTGATCGAGGACACCGAGAGCAAGCCGGAGCCGGCACACAAGGACCACGCGCCGCCCAACGGCACCGCGCTGGAGCCGGCGGGCGCCCAGCCCCTGGGGGAGGAGGGCGCGGGCGGGCAGAAGCCGGGTGCCAACGCCACAGATGCCAAGGAGGCCGAGCAGGAGACAGACGTGAAGAAGCAGCGCTGCAAGTGCTGCACGGTGATGTGAGCCCCGCCGGCCCCCGCCGGGACGGGCTGCCCCCGCCGAGCCCTCTCTGCCCCGGCCCCTGCCAGCCAGGCCCGCCGTCCCGGCACGCCGGGCTTCCCCCACACTGGACACGGACCCTCTTTCTGCAGAACTGGGGAGATCCAACACGGTGCCCAGGGGGCCGCAGCGGGCAGCAGCAAATGGGGGCCGTGGCAACGCTCGCCCCGTCTGCCCAACGCCTGCCCCGCGCTGCCCCCACCAGTGCTGCCTGTGGTATTTATTAGAGACCCCCTGACCCCACGGTGCACTCACCCCACCACAGCCCGGCCCCGACCCCACCGGAGCCCTCCTGCCGCCCAACACCGGAGCCTTTTCCTCTTTCACCAACACTGTCCCACCCCCGTCGGAGGATGGAGCCATCGGGCAGGGGATCGGAGGACGCCGCTGCATCCGTAGATGACTCCCTGGGAGCCGGCACCAGCGGGACCCACACTTGGCCCAGCCTGTGGCGGGCATTGGACCCAGCCCCATGCCAGGCCCTCTCTCTGTGCCTCCATCATCTGCATCACCAGTGGGGAAAGGCCTGTGTCTGTTCCCCTCTGGCTGCCCATGGACATCTCCGCTCCATCCCGTGTCCTCATCCCCATGGCCCTGGGCTCCCCGAGCCATGAGCCCCTCAGGGACCGAGCGTGTCCAGGCGAGGGAAGGGCATTAAGGGCAGTGTCTCCTCCATGATGCTCAGCTGTGGTCATGGGCAGGGCCACGCACAGCTCCTCTAGGATCACCCCAGCCTGTGCTCAGAGCTGTGGGCAGGAGACCCTGCTCTGCTCGCCCAGGCTCATCTCACTGTGTGGAAGCCCCTCACCCTGGTGATGGCATTGATGGCCATTCCTCCAACTTGGCTGCTGGCTGGCACCGCTGGGCTCTGCCAGCCCCCGGGGCTGAGCTGTGCTGTGCCCAGTGCCCGTGTCCCCCTGTGGCAACGGCAGCGAGGGGGGCCCAGCCTTGTGGGGACAGGAATGGGGTGGGTGTGCCCACCCCACCCACTCCCTCATAGCAGCAGGAGCGTGGCCCAGCATCCCGCTCCCTTCCTGCCTCTGCAGCTCAGCCGTGGCAGCTTTGCAGAGCCACCTTCTGGGGGTCCGGGCTGCAGCACCAGGTCCTGCAGGGGAGCAGGGCAGCCCAGTTCACCCCAGCACTGGCAGCCCAGTTCACCCCAGCACCGGCACTGGGAGCTGTCAGGGGTCCGGTGTCCCACGAAGGGCAGCCTCCCTGCTCCCCCACGCCACGCCCCAGCCCTTCAGTGGGGATTTCACCACCAGCACCAGCGTTTCCTCCCCCCCGAGACCCACTGGGGCAGGCGAGGGAGCGCCCGCCGGGGCAGTGCCCAGGCCCTGTGCCCAGGGGCACTTGCCCAGGAGCTTTGGGCAGGGTGCAGCCACCAGCCAGCACAGGGGTCCTTGTGTGAGCGTGAGAGGGTCCCCGTTGCTGTGAGGCCGGGCAAGTCCCCAGAGATCCCCCAAAGCACGTGTGGAGCAGCCCCCACACTGCCCAGCCCACTGGGACACCAGTGATAGAGCAGCCAGGGATGGGACTCGGCCACCCAAGGCCTTCCTTCCCCCACACTCCCCTTATGTGAGCAGTGACCCCCCCCATCACATCCCAGTTCCCCCCCAGTTACCATCCAGGCTGCAGTTTTCCCCCAGTGGAGTCACTGCAGGGCTGGGGACTGCGGGGGTCTCGCAGTGCCACCTGAGCCCTGCCTGGGCACCCACAGCCTCTGGGAGAGGCAGAGCTGAGGGAGGGAGGGGTTTCCCCACCAGGGGAAGGGGGGGCCTCTCCTGCCCCTCCCGCTGAGGGCATCCCTGGAGCCCCGTTGCTGCAGAGCGGGGCGCGGGGCTCAGTGCCACAGGGCATCTCCCCCACAACCCCGGGGGGAATGTCATCTCTCGCCACCCCACACCAGGGGCCAGCACCACTCACCCCATCCCGCTGTGGGCCCTGCAATCCTCCCGACCCCAAGCTGGGACTCCCTCCCACTCTCAGCACCCTCCACCTCTCAATTGGCTTTGACCCCCAGCCCAATCTGGCAGTGGGGAGTGGGACCAGGCGCCCGGGCCGGGGCTGGGGCACGAGAGGAGCAGGCAGTGGGCCCAACATCACCCCTGCCCCGTCCCGCAGCCCCCCCGTCCCCCCCACCTCCGCTGAAGTGCACTTCCCGCACCCCGAGCTTTTCACTTGTGCCGAAGCTGTTTGAATCCCACCCCCACTCCCACCCCCCCGTTGTTTGTAAAACACCCGAACCGAGCAAATAAACTGTGTGAACAACCATCCTGCTGCCACCGACGGGTGGGAGGGGGCTGGGCTGGGCTGGGGATCCTGGGGATGGGAGGATGAGGGTGGAAGGTTAGGGACAGGGATGTCGGGCACGGGCCCTGCTGCCCCTTCACTGTATGGGCAGGGGAAGTGGGGAGGAAGGGGTATGTGGGAACAGGGATGCTGGGAGGAAAGGGATGCAGGGTGACACTCTGGGCCTGCCCAGGTAAAGGGGACATGGCAGCCCAGTTACCTGGTTGTCCCGAGGGACAGTGGTGGGGTCAGGACCTCCCAGGCCCTGACGAGGCCTGTCTGTGTGCACATGGCCACGGGTCTCTGCACGTCCCCACGCTGGTGCGATTGCTGCTGCCCAAGGCTTGGATTCCAGGGCTCTTCCCTGGAGCAGCTGGGCCCTGACCCTGCCCGGTGCCAGCCCAGGTGCCAGCACACGCCCTGCGGCAGGCGGGGAGCGCTCCTGGCTCCCTGGCATCACCTGTGGACTTTGGCTCAGCCCCGTGGTAAAACAGGCTCCACTCACCTGCCCGGAAACGCAGAACAGCCTGGCAGGCACACGGCACCGGCGTCCCCAGGCCAGGCAGCGCCAGCCCCGAGCGGGAACAGGGGCACCAAGGGGCTGGGCAGGGGTAAGTGGGGCCCCCCAGCACCTGCAGCTGGGGTGAGCCGGGGCCGGGCACCAGCGCCGTGCTGGGACAGCAGCGGGGCCGGGAGGGACTTCCTGGCAGGAGTGGGCTGCAGTGCAGGGCAGAGAGGGTGAGGACGGGACCTCCCACCCCATCCACCGGCACAGTGAAGGGCTGAGCATCCCAGAACAGCATTGCCTGCTCAGCTGTGATGCCCCGTGCCAGGAGGGAGGGTGGCTCTGGGCACTGGCGATGCTGCCCACTCCGCTGGGATCCAGCAGCTGTGGCCATGGGCACCAAGGGCACCACGGCCACTGTGCCACCGCCCTGCCCTTGTCCTGGCAGGCGCCCGAGGTTTCCAGACCAGGTTTCCCAGGTGCAGGGCTCGTGTCCCCAGGGAAGGAGGGAGCTGCTCTGCTGCAAGGGGCAGGGGCTGGCAGTGCCAGGGCTGCCGCGGCGGCGAGAGCACTGCCTGTGCAAACACGGGGTTATCGGTGACTGCAGGGGAGGCCCCGCGGTGTGACAGAGAGCCCAGGCTGCTCCCGGCGTGGCTGCTCCCAGCATGTTCACTCAGGTCCCTCTGCTGCCCTGGGGCACACGGTGGGAGGAGAGCTGGGCATCCAGGCCCTCACTGCAGCTTCAGGGCTTCTCAGTGCCACAGCTGTGTCCATGGAGAGGCAGGAGGCACCTGGAAGAAGGTCTGTGGGTGCATTGCCACACCACTGCCCCACTGCACCTCTGCACTGGTGCATCGAGGCACAGGTGTGTTGGCACGCTGGTGCATTGGCACACGGGTGCGTTGGCACATTGGTGCATCGGTGCACGCTACAGATCAGAACCAAGGGCAGCCTCCCGGGCATGGGACCAGCTGCAGCGGGGTGATGGAGGCACAGGGAGATCAGGAACAGGGCACTGAGCCCAATATGGTTCTTGGAATTCCCCCACAGACTCGTGCTGAGCTTATCAGGGCCCCGCAGCCACGCCACCCACGGCCCCCCCGCCCCCCAGTGCTGCCACCCCAGCCACTCCCCAGCAGACACGGCTCAGCTGGGTGCCCTGTGTGGCCTCCTCGGGGCATGGGGACCCCCGCCCCGACGGCTCCCTGGACAGTAAGTGCAGCGTGGTCGGGGTGAGGGCAGTGCCAGGTGCTGGGGGGACGCCGTGTCCCCCGGCCTCGGAGGGAGCGGTGCCCACGGAGGGATGGTGGCAGCGAGGGTGTGCAGAGAGGGCTGGTGCAGCCTGTGGGCGGGCAGAGGGACGTTGGCCGCACGCCGTGCACGCCTCACACGTCGTCGGTCCGGGAGCGCACGCGGCCACGGCACAGGGTGGGAACAGGGGGGGGTGTCCTGCAGCTCTGCTGCCCCGTGCAGAACCCCTGGCACAGGAGGGCCCTGGAGAGCGCCCCAGATGTCTCCTTGCAGTGGGGGGGCCCAGGCCAGACTGGTGGGTGCTGCGATGCCACCTGCTCTGGCCAGCACCTCTCGTGGTGCTCGGCTGGGCCGGGGGGCAGCCCAGCCCAGGGGGGGTGATCAGGACCCCCAAACCCCGACCGTCCCTCAGCGCCGGGCCGGGCTGAGCCAGGTGGATGGATTTGGGCGCAGCTCTGGGAGGGGCCGTTCCGCTCGAGTGGAGCAGCCCTGATAAGAGCCCAGCTGGCTTCCTCCTCCCTGCTCCCCTCCTGTGCCAGCTGCCAGCGCTCCTGGGGGGGGGTGTGGATGGGTCCCCTTCCAGCCAGGACCTCGACCACCCCAAACACGGTAAGAGGTGTGGTCAGGTGGTTTTCACTGTCCAGGTCGCTGGGGGCAATGAAAGAGCAAGACTGAATCACAGGTAGGGGAATTACAGGGAAATTCAGCAGAGCACAGCTGCAGGGGGAGAGGCTGAGCCAGCAGGGCTGGGCATGGGCAGCCAGGATGTCCCAGATGCTGCTGTTGAGATCCAGGAAAGACTTAAACAGCTCCTGACTGGAGCCCAACCCCGCTTGCCCTGTGGGAGGACTGCATCCCAGGAGGGCTGGAAGGGGAAGGGGAAGATCAGTCACCAGTGTTGCTGCAGGAAGAAGCCATATCCAGAGTGCTCTCATCCTGGGGACAAGCTGGGATGCTCCAGATATGGGGAGCACCAGGCATCTGCCTCTGTCCTGGGGAGCCTCACCCTGAGCTGTGCTTGCAGGTACCACGGCAGCCGGGCTCTGGGCTGCCCCTGGCATCGCCGTGGGCTTGCTCCCGTTTTGCCTCATGCTCCCAGCAGGCCATGAGATCCCCGGAGCGGTGCCCGGCAGTGACACACCCTGACCTGCTGGGGCTCACGGAGCCCAGCCAGGGGTGGTGACAGGTGACAGCAAGGCTGAGGCTAAGCCTTGGCAAACAGTGGGACAGGATGTGCTGCTGGCCCTGGGCGCGCCCGGCTCGTCCGGGGGTGACGTTCGTGTCCCCGGCGCTGGGGCCGGGATGGCATCTGATGTGTGGTGAGAGCTGCTGCCTCATGGGGACCCACCTGTGCTGCCCCTCCCTGCCTGGCACCCGCTGCCCCAGCCGGCTCTGGCCCAGCCAGCGCCGGAGCATCAACATCAAGGTCAGGGCCATTCGCTCCCGCCCTGCATGCCAGGGGGGTTAAAGTCCCCTCGTTTTATGAGCCATGAAACCACTTTTATGACCCAGTTGTTTCTACGGCTCGGCTGCTTGGAGGCTTCTTCCTGTAAATGCACGAGGAGATATTCCAGGCAGGGGTGGCCTCAGTGCCACTGCTGCCACCTCTCCCTGCTGGTGCTGCCCGGGGCTGGAGGCCACTCCCTGCCCCGTGCATGTGGAGAGCCCCACGCGACACCAGAGGGTGTCTGTGCCCAGGGTGATGCCCAGTCGGACCGGGGCTGTGGTCTCACTGTGGTCTCGCTGCCACTGGTGGTGCCACAAACCCGTGGCAGGTTTGGCTGTGCAGCCTTGGAACGTGCCCAGGCTGGGGGACAGAGGTCGGAGGGGGATCTGGGCTCTGTGGCAATTCCTATCGGGAATGGTGCTTTGTGCTCTGCCTGCTCCTGCCCCAGACGGGGCAGGTTGGTGTCTGTCCCCAAAAAGGACAGCGGTACCAGGCTGGAAGAGGGGCTGTGCCCTGACCTCTTCTCCTCCTGTTGCTCTTAACAGCTGCTCTCCCCTCCTGCTTGCAGGGACAGCCAGGTCCGGCCCCTTGGCCTCTGCTGAGCCAGAAGCTCGTGGGTGACCTTGAAGCTGAGCAGCTGCCCCGGTCCGAAGACAGGTTGGCAGAGGGGTGACTCTTCCCAGGAGATGGACAGGGTCACCAGACATCTGGTGTTCCAGCTCCCCCAGGCCTCGCACAGGCCTGACCACAGCGATGGGTACCAGACCGGCTCGCTGGCAGAGCTGAGGGCCGACAGTGACGACGACGTGTTTGGCTCCACTCAACACAGCACCCAGAGGGTAGAAAATGGCTATGGCTGGAAGAGGAGGTCCCAGTCACCCTCATATATCCTGGAGGGTGGAAAAGATGTCTGGACCCCATCCCCAGACAGGGAGTCCAAGCTGGAGGTGGTGAGGTCGGGAAGCCTGTACGACCTCAGGGCTTACAGGGGTGAGAGGAAACCCTCAAAGCTCTACGATGAGGAGGAACAGGACCTGTACAGGGTCCCTCCACCCAACATCTCACCCAAGAAAGCCAGGGAGCTGGAGGACGAGAGGAGGGAGGTCATCCGGAGCCAGGTGATGAGGAAGAGCTCCACCATTGCCGAGAGGTGGAGCTCCATGGATGAGCTGAGCTCCATCAACACCGGCATGGGCAGCCAGGGTGAAGGCAGGCATGCAGGTAGTGTCACCACCAGCTTTGCCATCAGCTTTGACAAACCTTCCCCAGGCAGGGCTGTGACACCTGTGGACCCTGACAATATCGACACGGAGCAGATCAACTTCTCCGCAGCTCGGCAGCAGTTTCTGATGCTAGAGAAGACCAGCCCAGGCTCTTTTTTCAGCCCAGGGCAGCAGGCCATATCCCCTAAGCCAGAGTCAGTGACAAAAGTCTCCAGGGAAGAGTGGCACAGCCCTGAGACGGCCACGAAGGCTGTGAGAGGTTATGGTAGTGCCGGTGCATCAAGCCAGAGCAGGAGGGACAAGAGCATTTACCAGGTTTACAATGTGTCCCACAAGACACCTGAGAAGGAGGAGGTTTATACTCCCAGAAAAGCTCACACTGAAAGGTCGTATCCCATTGTGAAAATGTCCAGCCTGAGCAAAGCATTGTCCAGAGAGGACCTGGACTCTGGCTTGGGTGAGATGTATAACGAAGCCAACACAGGCTACGGCAGCGATGGAAGTGCCTCCAATGAGACCTTCAGTGGCCTCGTGGATCTGAGGGCCGGCAGCAACG